CTATTTTAGTTGGGTTGAATGGTTCTTCCCGCATCCTCGTGCTTTTACTCTTTTGTAAAACTCTCAAGGGTCTTCTTTACATTTTGTTACCAGCTGTTCTCCATATACTGTCCAGGATCTGTCTTAGCTTCCTTTGCTACCCTTGATGTTAAGCCGCGGCGTTCCTTTCTTCTGTATAGGACGTAATCTTCCACTGTCTCTGATTTCAGCCACTTTTTGAACGCCTTTTTCTTCAGCTAGATGAGTAGATGGCTTCCTTCCCCTGGTCATTCCTAGTTGTTTTCTTTTTCTGCCCTCTTGATTTCCTGGTGCCGCACTCTTCTTTTAATGCTCTGTCCACACATGTTTTGGAGTTGCTTCATTCCTCTTCAATGTCTCCCGGTTGTTTGGGCAATTTGGGAAATACATCTTTCAAACGTTCATGTGTCTTATCTCTGGTATTGTCATTTATATGTCTGAGATTTACGACTTTTCGTCGTTTCTTTGCTCCTGTCCTTTTCCTTTTTGGTGTGTTAATAGTCATGATGACTGGTCTGTGGTCAGTGTCTGTGATGTAGATGGGAATCACTCTTGAGTCTCTGATTTTTCTCAGTTTCGATCTTTTGGCCAGGATAAAATCAATTTGTAATGCTATCTTTAGGTCATTCTTTTCGTACCAAGTTTTTAACTTGACTCCTTTTGTATTGGAAGAAGGTATTTGCTATGACGAGGTCATGTTCTGTGCATAACTGTAATAGCATTTCTCCATTGCTGTTTTGATCGGTTTCTCTGTCACTGCGTGGCCCCATGTATCTCTCATCTTTGTCATCCACGGTGTTTAAAAGGTCACTCAGTTGATCATAGAACTGATGTCGCTGTTCTTCGGGGCATGAGTCATTGCATGGTGCATATTAATATATATTTGATGTCCCTCAGTAATTATCATATTCTATGGTGATTCTTGTATCAATCTCCAGCTTTATACTATACTCGTTGAATTTTATATATATTATTCAAGTCTGTGTTATGCTTTTTTAGTTTAGTTTTAGCATGGGTTTTACGGTACTTGCAACACAAATAGGCCATGTAAGCGCCGAAAATTAGAGGTGTTACAAGAGAGTAACATACACAGAAACGAACGAGGACAGATAAGGACGGTTGATTGTTAATTTAAAATATAATAAAGGAACAAACCACACCCTAAATTACCCACCAATCAGGCGCGGTTCGTCCACATAGCACGGTCATGCAGTACCGCCCAACATTTTTTAATATTCTATTACGTAAAGCACTCACAAACATACAATAAAAAAGCAAGAAATAAGCACTAGCCAAATATAATCAAAACAAGGTCCTCGCTGGCGCCGTAGCTGTCATTTCTGTGTCTATAGCGCCGAAAAACATCTACTATGCCATGCCAAAGTCCACACGGTTTCACTAAACGCAATAGGATATTCAACAGTGGTAACCTGACCTATAAATCGCTCTTTGGGATAACCCAAGCGATGACGACACTCGTAACGAGTTTGGCGGTACGTTAATATTAATAAGCCGGCACATCTCAAATGTGCTCCGCCTGTCGAATAGTGCCGATACATAGCCCTCAGTAGGCAGCAGGAATTTGATGTTTCGCTAACAAACTGATTTTTAGTTCTAGAAATCAAAGCGACAGGGAAAAAGAATGAAAATAAAAGCTCGAGGTTCCCCCTCACCAACCCAAAGATCCTAAAATTATACACCATCTCATTTACTATGCCCTCGACAATCTTCAGCCTGCGATAACTTAATTGTGCACGCCCACTTTTTAGACGAACGAGCCGCCCACCGACCTCCTGCTTGAGTTATGCATGTAAGATTGAAACTGCCTTCAATTTTCCGCCAATATCAAGTTAAAGAACTCTTTAAAACAAAATGAGAGATGTTTTTCTTTTGAAAATCGGACCATTATTATGGAAAGTGTGCCCTTTTTATATAAAAAATTGGATAATATTATATAGAATCTAGATCTAGGCATCTCACACACATTATTTTTTTTATTAGATCTACGCATATGGCCTACGTCACATACAGCTTATCAATGACAATTTTTACTTGCAAAACTTGTTACAATACGTCATGTACATTATTTTTATAGTGAATAACATATTTTTTGCACTAATGACTCTCAAAACATGCGTTCAATAAGCATAGATCTAGATCTAATGTCCCGATTAGAAAAACATGACGGACTTGCTATTAGATCTAAAAGCACCAGCTGTAAACATATTATTCTGTAGACCCGCTTAGATTTTTTATTAGATCTAGTCTAGATCTAGATCTAGATCTAGTATTTATTTAAAGACTACACCTTGCAGGAGTTTACAAAAATGTCGATCTGTTATGACAAATTGATACAAATTATTGTGCAAAAAATGGAGAACCTATGTTCGATAGTTGAGGAGATATTTGACTAGATCTAGATCTAGATTTAGATTCTAGATCTATAAATTCTAAGTAGAGCCATGATTTTTTTTTACAGCACTATAGATCTAGTAGTTTCAGCTCAGGCTATGAGCAGCTGGCAGCTGTGATATAAAGGTCAAAGAAGGAAAGGTCAGGGGGTAAATGAAAGCGCGTAGTAATCTGAGGGAAAAAAGCTGCTCGCATTGGCACTGGCACTATCCATAAATAGGGGGTGCCCACATATGCGATCGGGTCGGGTCGGGTCGGGTCGGGTCGGGTCGGGCCTATCGGGTAGTCGGGGCTAGCCAAATTGAGGGTGCAAAGCGGCCATCGAGGCACAAACCGATCGACTCTTTCGGTGACCTACAAAGACAAACGCGTTTGTTTTCAGACCTGCGAATCGCGCGATCGAGTGGTTTGCAGCCAATCACAACAAGGCTGAGTCACTTGTCCATATTGACCCGAATACGTTCAGTAGGCTGGGAATTCGCGGTTTCGGTCTCACGTCTCACGCCTTTGACCGTCTTCTCTCTTCTCACAGCGGGTTTGGAGCGCTCATAGGTCTAGAGGAAGAAGAAGACGAATAATAATAATAATAATAAGGAGGAGCATTGCAGAGGGAGGGTGGTGAGAGTGACAGGGAGTGAGAGAGATGAGTTGAGCGATGTATGCAGAGACCTAGCAATGTTTACAGCATTGCTAGATCTAGGTCTCTGATATATTATGGGAAGTGAGAAATAAACAAGAAAGGCGAGAGACACTAAAGCAAGCAAGCAAGCCCTCACACACACTCACGCACGCACACACACACACACACACACACACACACACACACACACACACACACACACACAGAGAGAGAGAGAGAGAGAGAGAGAGAGAGAGAGAGAGAGAGAGAGAGAGAGAGAGAGAGAGAGAGAGAGAGAGAGAGAGAGAGAGAAGTCCAAGAGTACCGTAGGCCTAGATCTACTTATGTATTCATGGGTCAAAGGTTCAGCCAATCGTAGCCCAGTTTACGCCCTCTATGTAGGTTAAAGGTTTCTCTACTTTAACTTCCAGTAGGGTTGTGTGCGATCCCGATCCACAAGGATCGGAGATCGGCGAGCCGATCATGATTGGGATCGAATTGATCGATCCGATCGAGCCGATCTCGATCTCTAGTGGATCACCGAGCACTTATCGCTCTCTACTCCGATCTCTTCCACAAGGAGAGACAACACAAACTTGCATAAGCATTGTTCTTCTAAGGTCAAAGACCCCAACCCCTAGACCCCTAACCTAGTGATTGTGCGGGCGGAGAGAGGCAGCGGTGACAAAGCGGTGGTGTGGGGCTGTTGCAGTCTTTCCTTCCGGTGTCGATAAATACGGTATAAAACCCCCATGAATAAACTGCTTTTGTGAGTGTTTTCGACTATAACAAGCATCACCAAGCTTATATATATATTGGTAAATCAATTCAAAGGTTTGGACACTTAAAGACATGAACCAAACAAGGAAGATTGCACGGCACAGTGAGTTATATTACACTGCTTGTGCATATTTTTTAAAGGAGTAAAACCACCGGCTCGGCTCGGCTCGGCTTGATCACGATCTGTGAGTCGAATCCTCCCAGCTCTTCGTCTTTCTTGTTTTTGTTTGTTTTTCCACGCTTGCGTTTGAAAATAATATTCTATTTTACGGATATATGCATCTTTAATTTTGTGGACGCGTTATCACGCTACGTTTGGAGACGGTCGGTGTCTTTTTCTACAAAAAGGACAATCAAATGAGCAATGAGTGAATGAGCGGTTTAGGGAGCAATAGAGTGAGCGATCATGATCAAGATCGGAGCGATGGTCTAGAAAGGGATCGAGCCGAGCGATCGTCTACTCCGACTACTCGCTCACTTCACAGGCCTCATACGGGGTGCCCACTACGGCTGGATCGGGCCGATCACCCGACTCGATCGCCTGAAACTGAAAACAAACACGTTTGTTTTTTTAGGCGATCGTGTTGGAAGATCGGCCGATCCCGTCCGTAGATGGCACCCCGTATAACTTCCAGGTCGTCGGGTACAATCGCGACGGGGCTGTAGTGTGTACTGAAGCCACAAGAAAGCAACCCGACCCGATCGGCCCGATCCGACCCGATCGCGTATGTGGGCACCCCCTATAACCTCTATGACTCTATGGCGTCGGCCTATAGTTTTTTTTATAAATCCTCATAAGAATAAACCAACAATAAAACTCAGAAAATTTAATTTATTGATTTTTTTTTTTACGTGGAGGACAAGTTATCACACAGACATGCTTTCGGGTGTTTTGAAGAAGATACCGAAGAAGCCTAGAGCCAAGGCTAATATTATTTTGCAGGCCTAGATTCTAGATTAGATTTAGTTTGTCTAGGACTTTGCGATGAATGATTCAGGCTTCGGGAAAAGAATAAAAATAAAGTAAATAAGACGCTCAGTTTTGGAACGATTTATACCTCCATTTTAATCGAAAGGTTTGGATTCCTTTCTTAGAACTTGTTTTGGTAAATTAGGCCTAAACGAAGGTAGCAGTAACACCAGAGAGTTTACAGTAAACCCTCTCTGGTAACACTCCGCAGTGTAGATACTGGGCCTATATTGAGCAGGGGATGCACTTCCTCATAAGGTGTTAACGGGTCTATCTGTTATCAATGGCTGGCCTGCTGTCGTAGAACAGTGCATTGTTGACAAATGAAGATGCTTTGACGGCTTGTGAATCATAACGTATCACATCGTCCGATCATGTTTTCCATACCGTATTCCTAGCAGAAAGAGAATCAGTTAAACAGTTAAAATGGTACAGACGTATCAGTCACCCGTAAGGGTGTATAAGTACCCTTTTGAGCTGGTGATGGCAGTGAGTATTTCTGACTGGGGCCTAGGCCTGAGTTGTACCGTAGATTTCTAGATCTAGATCTAGATCTACGTAGAGTAGATCTAGAATCTAGATCAAGATTCTAGATAATCTAGACATCTAGATCTAGAGCTAATGTAAAAAAAAAACAAATGTTATTATTAGACTCTATTTTACTGTAAAATGTGGCCTTTGGCTGTACTGTATCATTGTCATGTTCTGTGTCGTTGTGTGTAAGTACAGAGTGTATGTTGACTTCAAGTTGATGGACCTGTTATTACTTCTAAACTAAAGTGGGCGGTTGGCGGGTGCTCTGGTGTGGTTTGCTTCTTGCTTCCTATCAAACATCTATTATTATTATCTCCCCTTCTTCTTTTTTATGTTTGTTACTCTCTTGTAACACCTCTAATCTTCTGGCGCTCATATGACCTTATATGCAGTTGCGAGCGCCGTAAAACCTCTACTAAAACTAAACTAAACTAGATTCTAGATCTAGATCTAGATCTATTATTTCTAAAGTCTAAAGCCAAAGGTAAATTTATAGAACGAAGTGACTGTTTCTTTGAACATTCGGGTTCGGGAAAATAAAGTAATAAAGTTGAACTTTATTTCTCCAAACGGTTTCCGATCTCGAGATTTTTTGGTCATTTGCGAGATTTAGGCATCATCATTTCTGATTTCAATGATTTCATTCTTCCATTCTGCGAGGACTGGGACGTGGGCCTGGGAGCTGCATTTTTTGCATCGAATTCAATTTCTAGAGCTAGATTTCTAGATCTTGATCTAGAGATTTTTAAATGTCTGAATATTCAGATACTTCAGTTGTGGTTGGGTCAACATTCCCGGACTATACTTCATTTGAAAATACCTTAAAAAGTAAAAGGTACTGCGAGAAAACAAGACTGCTTGACCTTGGCAGTAATGGCAGTAACCTATTTTGTATTTAGTCACCCAGCAAAAACTAAAATCTTTCATGTAAAAAAAAAAAATTCTCTCCACCCCCCCCGTTCAGACCTTACACACACACCGACACATGCATACACACGCACGGCACACTCACACACACACACACGGGCCACTCCATTCGCTTATTATCAACAGATCTCGAAGACGGAAACCGTTCGTAGAAATGGAGTTCAAGTTTATATTCTCCCGAACGTTCAGAGAAATAGACCTGGCCTTTATATATAAACACTCCCGTCTCATAAAGGGTATTATTTTGTAGCTTTTTATGTTTTTTTTAAGGCCCTGAACACGATTTTGGCATTGAAAAACGTCGCAAATGGTTAGTTTAGATGTTACAGTGCAATATTTCAGGGGGGGAGGACCCCCCTATGCGCCCTACTACACAGCTATTACGTACTTGCATATTAGGGGGAGACCCCCTGAAACCCCTCTAACGACTACAAAAGCATGCATTATTTTAAAAAATCATAAAACTTAAAGCCTTCTTTAAAAAAACTAATCTTATTCGTATATCCGATGGCACTAATGTGGTGAAGGAGCTGACTTCCGGTAGTGGATGTGATGCGAAACGGGAGTACTTCTATAAAAATACCCTAGATCTAGAATCTAGACTGTAAACTGCAATCGTGATGCTGAACCTATTGTGGAAATGGAAACAAAACAAGCTTAAATAAAAAAACCCGAAATGTAGACATGGTAACCGGGAACAAAGTCACGAAGTATACAGACCCGGTAGCGGAAACCTTTTGTGATTTCGGAAAGTTTCAGCCCCCACACCGGGTAGAAGAATTCTTTTGTGATTTCGGGACAAACAAAGAGCAAGAGAAGGCGAGAGATACAGAGAGGAGAGAGAGAGAGAGAGAGAGAGAGAGAGAGAGAGAGAGAGAGAGACAGTGACTGCTCGTTTGAAATCATGACATTGTTCTTTCTTCAAATTGTCTTGATTCCTCCAACTCCACAACAGAGGAAAAACAATCGTTGATCGAAAAGACATATCTGCAATCTTCATTTAGATCTAGATCTAGATTCTATGCCTCAAAACTAGACCTCTATGATTTTTGTCTGTCTGTTTAGACTAGACCTAGGCCATAGGTCTAGAAGAACCTAGAGGTCTACCCTGAGCCAAGAGGGCGCCGAAACTTTCTGAAATCATAAAAGATTTCCCCTGCCGGGTCTGTATACTTCGTGACTTTGTTCTCGGTTACCGGGTATGTATACACTTCCTTAAAAAAAATAGACAAAAAAACGAACTAAAAAGGCCTCGAAAACAAAAACAAAACAAAAACTTAGGTAAATTTTTACTTTTATGCACCTACACAAGGATAAAACAAGTCAAATATTACTACGCCTCTGGTCCTACTGTAATATAGATCTAGTTCTGTTTTCAAACATCAATAACTCAACTATTGATTTTCGTAAAAAATGAAGGCCATATATTCATGTTCAACATGCAAAATACTGTTAGAAAAACAGGTGAAAACATGTACATGAGACGGCAAAACTTGTAATAACAACACACACACACACACACACACACACACGCACACACACACACACACACGCACACACGCACACACACGCACACGCACATACACATACTTCCGTAATGAACGACCACCCCAACAAACACAATATAAATTTAAAAAATAAACCTACCCCTACCCCTAGCCCTCTATTCTACTCTACTCTGTCTTGTAGTGGTCGCACCTTACGGAAGTCCTCCCCACATAGATCTGGTAAATGTACTTCAACTTTGACTTTTTTGTAGTGCCAGTGCTCTTCAACCTTTAATATTGATCTACTAGTCTTTTATAACTTTGCATTGGCTTCCTGTTGAGAAAAGGATTGTGTACAGGTTGGCCACCCTATGTCACAAATGTTTGAATGCTAATGCACCATCATATTTATAAAATCTGTTAAAACTGTACATTCCAACTCACAGTTTAAGGTCATCAGCTGACAAATAGAAATGTATTTTACCATCTATGAAACTTAAAACAATGGGTGAAAGGGCATTTGAATACCGAGGCCCCAAGTTCTGGAATGCTTTACCAAGTACTTTAAGAGAGATCAAATCTTTTGGTTCATTCAAATGTCCGCTGAAGTCGTTTCTGTTTTAAAATTTAATTAATAAGATGGATATTTGGAATTTTCTTTAGTCAGAACACGTTTTATGTTAATGTTGTCTGTTGTACGTTTTACTGTATTGTTAAGCGATCAGAGCCTGTGTACTTTAATCGGGCTTGAGCGCTATATAAATGTCATTTATTATTATTATGATGAGAAGTTATTTTCTTCATGATTTTATTTCTGAAACTCTCAACCTCGAAATGATAGCTTCATAATATTCTGCCTTTACTCACAATGCTCAATGCTGCATTAAGTTGAATGTTGCAAAAGGTTGTCTTTGGTACATGAAGAGAGCTATCTAGATATTAGGAGCAGTTTTTTATATCACAGAAATGATATAACTTACATTACTTAAGTACACCTGAATTGAAGATAGATTTATAATGGTAGCGTGGTGTAATATGTTTAGTCTCATCATAGTTGTTAAATTGATAGATGATTTGCAGTTAATGAAATGCTGTGTATGTGATTTTTTTTCTTTTTCTTCTTACCAGGCATATGAAAAGCGTTTTCCCACATGTAAGATGATTCCTGTTTTCCTTGGTAGCGACATCATGCACGAATTCAAGTCCAAGGATGGCGCAGAGCATATAGTTGAGCGCAGATGTAAACTAAATGTAGATGCCCCTTATCTTTTGAGAAAGGTAAGGGTAATTGACTGAATTTGGAATATTTGAGGGTGGTTGGCGGGTGCTCTTATGTGGTTTGCTGCTTCTTTCCTATGAAACATTTATTGTCCTTAAAATCTCTCCTTCTTTTTTATGTTTGTTACTCTCTTGTTAACACCTCTAATCTTTTGGCGCTCATATGACCTTATGCAGTTGCAAGCGCCGTAAAACCTCTACTAAAACTAACTGGGAATATTTGTGTTAAAAAGCAAGTTTCACCCCCCGGGGCAGTGCCACGGACTGTAGCGTCTTTAGGCCATTTCCAAAGGGGGGACATTTCTCGTTCAAGCATAGTAGAATTGTAAATGGGCTGACTCATGTCACGCTCATAACTGTGCCTGATCTACAACGGGGAACTGCTGCTTTTTCTTTCCTGATCCTTACTATTGTCATTTTCCTCTACTTCTTTTGTATGTTTGTCACTCTTTTGTGACCGGCTATTTTGGGGTGCCTTGATAGTCGAAGCAGACCTTGTGCTGTTGAAGCTAGAGAGGTGAGCAGTCTAAGTCTGATTCCCTGTGAAGACTTCTCTGTTGACACCCACCCCTTGGCGCTCATATATGACCTTTTATGCAGTTGCGATCGCTGTACAACTCTCTACTATAATAATAATAATAAATAAAAAAGAAATAAAAAAAAGCAAGTTCTCATTCACAGTGTGTTTTTTTTTCCCCCTGTTGAAGAACTTGAATAAGATTTGCAGAAAATCTTTTTTTTTTGTCATGGGATGGGGGGTTTGTGTGTTTGAATTCAGTTTCGTATATTCATGTTTGTTTGCTACTTTCGATTTGTAACTCAATCTGAATCTACTGGCGTTCTAGAGACTCCGATAGCCCCCCCGCCCCCCATAAACCGTAACTTGGAATTTTAGGGAGCATTCTAAAGAAACTCCTATTTTGTATCATAGAATAGGTGGCAAATCTGTGGGCATCAAAAGTTGTACACTAACTAGCGCGCACATAGCGAGCGAACAGATTTTCAAGTCCCAAATTTTATTCTTCTTTCTTTGAATCCAAAACATGCACAAGTATAACATAGTAAAAAGAAAAAGATATTGGTTTTAGAGGGGGCAGATCAAATTAACACGACCTCAAGTTTTGTTTACTGGAATCTTTTTTAGCTGCTTGATGTTGAAGCCAATGATGGTTTTAATTTTTATGAGCACAAATTATGATTTGCTTTGACTTTTTCCTCCACTTTACACTTTCACCCATTGAAAATATTCTATTTGACTGGTTTCACAATATTTGGACCCTTACTTGAACTGCACATGAATTTACGATTTTCTGTTTCCTTGTATTTCAGCTGGCTGGTGTTGAGTATGTAATCTTCATTCAAAAGAATCATCTCAATCGTCGCAAGAGGACCTTAGATATCTTTGCTCACAATGAGAGTTTCTCCTCCCGCATCACCATCAATGAACACTGCCACTACTCAGTAAGTGTGAAGAGCGACAGAATGCTAGACACTCTTGTGTGAACTTTGTTATTAAATAATGTCAATATTTGACAAGGAACCAAAGGAAACAATTACCAGTGCTTCCACTCTTCCGTACTTTTGCGGAAATCCGTACTTTTTGCCAGTTCCGTACTTGTTCCTCCATCATTATCAACTCCCTCTGTAAAAAAACTGCGACAGCGTAGGACTACCGAAATTCCGTTGCAAAAGATCTGTACTTGCCTTGGTATCGGCCAGATTGTGCATTTTGTGTAACCGGCCATTATTCTGCTATGCCACGTGTATTCATTGTGGGTTGGTCGGCAGTACATTTTTACCTGCAAATTGATCAAAATCTGGTAAACTTTTTGTGCCAATTTCCTCCTTTCTATCATTCACTCATTCCTTCAGTCTATCTTTGGGCTGGAAAATCTGTGCGTTGATCAAGTAAATTGATTTGTGATCTTAGATAGAAAATTACTGTCAGAAAAAAACTCTTTTTTTGCAAATTTGTCTAAATCTAGAGAAATGATCAATGCGAAGATTCTACGGCACAGGAACGCGACAAGGGCCACGATGAAAGAAATTTATGCTTAAACTACTAAAGTCAAGAAAAATTCGAAGTGGTGTTCCGAGGTTGTGACATGCGACATTCAGACGTGAAAATTGAGGAAAATAAGGGTATACGTTGGGTAACTATATTGTGAAGGTACATATCTATTCATTATTCCCTGGTTTGCCTTCTATCAATGGTGCGATGACAGATTAATTGAATTATAATAGTAATGGAAATGGAAGGGGAACCTGCTTTAAACATTGCCAGTAATGGAAAGATATGTAGGTGTAGAAATGAAACAAGACAAAATGTTGGTTTCAAATAAATGTTATGGGTTGTAGGCAATCGCTTAGAACAGTCTCCCTAATGCCATGTTCAATCCTCTAAAAGCACTAAATTTCAATTTCTTCGGGGGTTTCGCACCCTGAACCCCCACCGGGACGCTGTCCCTGGACCCTGCTGGTGGCAGAATTTTCTTTACTTTTCAGCTGGTGGAAGCACTGAATTACATAAATGAGGCCTTTTTCTTTCATCACAGGGTCATCATGTTCCTTTAAGTTTTGTAGCTTGAAAGCAATTTTTGGACCAATAGGAACTCTGGTCAAAATTTTTACACATTTGCAAAACGATCATAAAAGATGAGCATTCCGGATCTTAACTCTTGTCCTGCGTCTGTGCCGAGATGCGAATCTTATCAGCAACCGATTACGTCGGACGTGCCGGGCAGGCCGCCGGGGTCACTCAGTGTGTACTGTTGGTGTACAGCGCGCGCGCCGGGAAACATGTCTTTTCACCATGAATACTGGGGGAATGTGTAAATCGATGATGAAAATAATGTTCTATCTTTCATAACTCTCTATTTATATAGTGTTACAAACACATGAATAACCCCCTCTCACAAGCTGATAAGACATTACGAGTAGTTACGCCCATTCGAATAACCTTTATGGATGCTCTTGTTGTTATGAATGACCTGAGGTCAATTTCCTAAAGTTTTGCACTCAAATTGTTCTTTGTACCTGCACAATGGTATTCAAAACTATTAAACAAGCTTATTTTGTATCAGGTAGTATCATTTCATACAAGATCAAGCTCATTTGAAAGATTTTGTATAGAAAAATGGAAGTCTTGTTTCCTGACTATCCTTTCGAGCTCCTCATGTCTAAGTGGACCAATTTTTTCTATAATTTCATTGGACGAGCATCTAGAGCTACCAACTTTGTGTTTTTTTAACGAGACGTATGCCTCGATTATGAACCAACGAATTCGGTTCTAGAAGAAGGCCACAATTCACACAAACTGAAGCAGATTGACGCACACACACTTGACCTGCATGAATGGGGATCCGACTTGGGACCCGAATTTCACGTAAGGTGATGCGCGGTGTGCATGCGCTGAGCCAGGGGCTGCAGGCGAGGTGCCGAAATAGGCTTATCGGGCGACATATAAACCCGGCTCCCGCAGGACGAGGGTTAAATATTAATTTAGCATTGCGTTATTTATGTTATGGCCTTTTCACACACTAAGTTTCATTGTTGGATGGTGAATAATAAGGTCACAATGAGCATTTGAAGTAGGTGCCAAAATGCCTGGCATTCTGTGGACGCTGAGCCATAAAGTGCTCGGCAGTGAGCGAGGTCAGGAGTAGGAAGTGGTTTATTCTCTTGATTAATTAACAATTTTCTTTTTTTGTGTGTGTCTAAAAGGTTCACCCTGACAACCCCACGTGGACTTGCTTTGAGCAGGATGCCAGCCTAGACATTAAACATTTCTTTGGCTTTGAGAGTACAGTGGAGAAAATTGCAATGAAGCAGTACACTGCTAATGTGAAGAAGGTATGTGGAAGATTAATATAACATTTGTTTTGCTGTGCATATACCAAAGGAAAAGGATGCAATGAAATAAATAAATAAAACTATGCGTTTGATGTAGATGTTGTTTTTCTAGCTCTTAGCTCACTACGCTGTACACATATAAAAAGAAACTATCAAAATTAGAGTACTTGTAACAACTAATTTTCTTTATAATTTTATAAATTTTATTATATTGTTGAAACATGATTTAAGTTTCATTACATTAAACTGAATCAGGGGGCTCTCGTGGCCTAGGTGTTAAGGTGTTGGCCTCTCATTCAGAAGGTCCCGGGTTCGAATCCGGGTAGCGACCAAAAAATTGTCTTCTCTAAAATTGTGTCCTTTCACCTCCTTTCCTGCTCTCTAGCAATGTTCTGTTGTCTGCTTTCATTTCCACTTTCTGCGCCCCACCCCCTCCTCTGGGTT